CCTCGGTGCACAAAAACTATCCCAAAAAGAAAAAAAAAATCAGACGAGCGAGCGAATGGGTATACAAACGTCAGTCATTCGTATCGTCGGCCGCAAACTGTACCGCATAAAGTGAGCCCCGTGTGTAAGAACATTAGCGTCTGTGGTGTAAAAATATTATATGTATCGGATGTGCAAAAAAAAAAAAAAAAAAAAAAAAAAGAATATCTACGTACCTTCATGTATGTACGTGTAGCTCTTGTATGTGGATCATTTTGCGAAAACCAGCGTATTTCAAAGGCTTAAGATGGGATTTTAACTTTTCTCATGCTTTTGTTTCTGTTGCATGTCAGCTAAACAAGTTAGAACTTTTTGGAGCCCCCCACTGGAATTGGTGTGAAAAGACTAATATAGTGGGCTCTGAGCAAAAATGACAACCCCTCGTATCGTGTATTGTACGTACCAGTTGTATTTTTTTTTTTTACCCATCACCATCCGACTCGATGTCTCAAAATTACGTAAAGATAAAGTAGAAAAATAATTTTCATTCTGAATAATGGTCTTTCCAACTATCAACGTCACACTAATCGATTGGGACACGAAAAGTGCCGTTTTCCGCAAAATGACCCATATATACCTGTACACGAATGACCTGCATCGGAATGCAAAAGGGGAGTCCTCGCTTTGCTCTCGTTGTGCTACTGCTGCTACACACATATACACCGGGGAAAGGACGAAGGACGTTCAACGGTACACATCTATACCCACATGTATACAATATGAATGTACAACGTATGTACGTACGCTCGGTCGATCGAAAAATATACACACGCGTATCCGAGTACAATAAAATGAAGGTATAGATATCTGCTGCACCCCCTCGCAGTCTTCTGTTATTAATAGTGAAAGCTGGTGTTGCTGAACAATATCAACAGTAGATATAGATTAGGCTAGGCGGCATTAGGGGGGGGGGGGTATATAAGCTGTCTCCTGGGAATTGTTTCTTGTGATCACCGCTGCTGGGGTAATTGCACCAGGAGCCATCATCATCATCAGGCCCAGGCAGCAGCAGCAGATGCGAATATAACTGTGTGTCCCCGCATCAGCTTGCGTTTTATTGCTAAACAGTTTTACATACGCCCGGGAGTGGTATATTATGCGCTGATGGCTTTCTTTTCTAATTCCTTCATAATTTGCGGTGTATCACTGGGTATACTTGTGCACCCATACTTATTTTATTTTATTTTATTTTATTTTTTTTTTTAGCAAACTGTGTTCAGTCCACAACGAAATTATGTACAAACTTATTGAACACAAAATATCACGTGCACAAGCTAATGAATGACGATCACACAAAATTTAACTAATCATCAATAAATTCATGTGAATAACGATTTGTGTAAGATTTTTAATTCATAATAATTATACCTGTACAATCCTTCCGTGCACGGGACACCTATAATACCAACGTTTTATTAAAATTTTGTTTGTGCACAATATATTTTGTGCCTAAATCCAGCGCAGTTTTGTTCACAGGCAATATTTTTTTAACTTTAATGGGATGTGCACAAAACGTTCGTGAGCTCAAAAAATCTTAGTATAAAATATTTTCTAATCAGCTTGTGTGCATGACATATTGTGTACAAAAGTTTTTACACTATGAAAATGTGCACAATTCTTGTGTGTACTGGACATAGTCTGCCAATTGTTAACTATTACAGTTTTATCAACATTTTTTGTGCACAATGTTTTGTGTCACGAGACATTAGTGAACAAAATGGAGTCTCTTGTGTACAGCTTTTTTAACGCATAATAATTATATGCACGATTCTTACGTGCACACCTAATGCCTACATTTTATTAAAATTTTTTTGTGCAATACACTTGTGCCTAAAAAAAGTTTGTACACAACGAAAACGTATGTACAAAGCAATGTATTTATTCATGGGTGTATGTGTTATGTGCTGAAAATCTGTGTACAAACCAACGTAGATAATAAATTTTGTACTTATCCAATATTGATACAAAAAAAAAAAAAAAAAAAAATTGTTGTGCATAATATTTACACAAGATAACTGTGAACAAAAATACTTATATTGAGAAAATTGGAAATTACACATTGAGTACAAAAAAAAGTGTGCAAAGCATTGATTGACATTGGTTAACAATAACTTGTGCACAATAAAGATGTATGGAATCATCATGTGCACACACAGGGACTGCACCATGGAAGATACATGTAGATACGTGTACTATATCCCCCTGGCAGTAAAAACAATAGCGCATAAATTGTGCCACGCCAACGAGCGAGCACCGGCTAAACGAAAGCAATCTCGGGTGGATATACGCCGAAAACTTTCACGATTTTGTTGCTTTCTAGCGCAAAACTCGAACGACGTCAATTGGAAGTTCGCGGTGAGGCGCGTAAGTAAATAGTATAATGACCGCGCTGAGTGGCCGGTCACTGCGAGAGTCGAGGGAGAGAGAAGAGGAGAAAAACAAATGCTCGGGAGTCTCTGGAATGCGGCCCAAAGCCCCGTGAATTAGATCCTTTGGAGACTTTCTTCCTCACCTCCTCCCCCTCTCTCCTGGGGAGAGGCACACAAAAGTCCGTGCGTCATCGCGGTGGGCTCTGGATGGGCCTTCTGGTTTCCTTTTTTCTCTGGAATACACTGCCTCCCGAGATATATGTGTTTTTATCATCCACGGACCGTTTTACTTTCTTACGACAATCTCTCTGGTGGAGATTTTTTTTCTCTCCACGCGGTCGCGCAATTTAAACGCCGGGAGATCGAGAAACACACGCGCGTCAGTCAGTGCAATTGTTTCTTAGTTGTTCTGTTGAAAATTTAATTGTCCCCGGGAAAGAAGAGTCAAGCTCGATTTCATGGTGCTGAACTTTCATAGCTTCGGGAAATTTGCATAAATCGACCGAGCGCATCTGGTTGAATGAATCGACGTGGATGCTGTACGTGCGGAAAACGGCTCGAAAGGGCTCATCGACTTGGTGTTCCTGCCAACACTGGAGAGGAAGAGGGATGCAAATCGCTCCTCTTCGTAGTATCGATTACGTGCTTCGTGAACAGGTAATAGAGGCATACTGGAAAAAAATGTCTAAAAAGGATCGAGATGGTATTTACTTGAACAGTTCTAGGTAAACGATACTTTGTAATAGGATTTATTGTAACGCAATACCATCTTAGGAGAATTATACATTCTAGATGATATTTTCCCGTCCTCAAACAAAATTTTTTTTTTCTCGGCGCAGGTGGATGCCTCGCTACAACATTCTCACTTTCTACTCTGGTTCAATTTTGTTTGAACACCATTTCAAAGATCTCAACTTATGGTAAAAAAAAAAAAAAAAAGAAAAAAACAATGTTGAGTCCCCAATACTTTTTACAAATGACTGATTTTTTATAAACGGTAATCTCAATGTAAAATATATGAAAATAGCAATGTATACCCGTACTTTTGACACAACACGTGATTCAAAAATCATCAACGAGCTAATAATCATAGCCGGTAGATGTCATCACGTTTTAGTTTAAGACCGAGCGCGACCGTTTGAAACCCAAATCCATCTTGAAGCGTTCGAATGAATGATTTCACAAACGGACGTATACAGTATATATGCACAGACTATAGTCACACGTGCGAAAATCAATTTTCCACTCCGCATGGCCTGATTCAGGCGTATGCGCGCTAAAGGAGCTTTTGAGAAATCCCAGAGATGGATCAAAGGAGGGATGACTTATTGCACCCGAGACCCCAACGGATTCCCGATTTCAGTGGTGTTTCCAAGAGAACGGAGCATAAGATGGACGGATATCTTATTGAAAAGGTTAGAAAGTTCGCGACCCATCGACAACGTCCACAACAATATCACATACACGAGAGTATGTATTGAGTTTGCAAGTGATTTTTAAAATCATTTTTAAAAGCCAAGGGTATTTGATGAAAGCACTCACATCAGATACAAATGTTTATACGTGCATACAGTGAAAAGGGGGAGCTTGCAAGCTCGCAGCTTCAATCAATGCTTGGCCGACCCGATCAGCCGTAAAATGAAATAATCTCGTTGCACACGACCATATGCATATACATTTCCAAGCCTGTTTACGTGTGTGTAAAGCATATACATATATGTATATACGTGTACATTTCGTTTGAAAAGATGAGAAGGCGGGCGGCGGTGGAGGTACTGGAGCTTGCGGCTGAGCGGCAGCGAGCCAGGCGCATTCAATATCATCAAAGACCGCCGGAGGAGTGCAGCCTGCATCCGAACGTGCAAGTCTGCGTCGATAAAATGCGGGAATACGCGGCGCAGGGACTCAGAGTTCATGGACTCCTTCCAGTAAGCTAGTGTGCCTATGTGTGCAAGCTCCGCTCACGAGGGTTTTTCGTATAAATGAGCTGAAAGGGGAGATGACTTTGCACTTTGGTCGGGGGAAGGGGAGAAACGAAAAGTATGTGGGAGATTTTAATTGCAAGGGCTGATTTTCATACTTTGAGTTTGAGTGATACGATTCATTTTTGTTTATTTTATTTTTTTTTTTTTATATGAGGGAATCCACAAAAAATATCCCGTTTTTATCTCCCATTTTAATGAAACAACCTTTTTTGAGGCACACCTTCGAGATAGGGCTCATTTTACTCGTAACGCCACGTACTGTGAGAAAATCTACATGGTTGAAACGTATAGATATAATTTTAACATGTTAATCGCGGAAAAAGGGTGTCACCCTCACTGAAACCAGTGTTCAAAATTATTTCCTCACAGTACATGACATTGAGAGCAAAATAAGCCTTATCTCGAAGGTGTGGCTCAAAAAAACTTTTTTCATTACAATGGGGGATTCCCATACACGTATTCATTAGCTACAATAGTCAATTTGTTGGAAGTAAAGGCCAGCAAAAAAAAAAAAAAAGAAAATACTGAAAAAGTAAAATAAACGCTTTATCCTTGGATGTCCTCCCGAACTGCTTGCCTTGAAAACCAGTAGGAGTGGGAGGAGGCGATGCTAAACTCCGTGCCCCCGGGACTCCGGCACAAGTACCGCGCCATCCTCGAGGACCAAATGAGCGAGGTCAAAGAGCGCTACCTCGAGGTGATGCACCGGATCTGCCTTACCTGCGTCCTAAGCCTCGAGGGTGCAGGCGACTGGGTGCCCGATCCGCCCTACAAGCTGGACGGCCGTACGGAAAACTACCCGAATTTCCTGCGCAATCGGCGCTCCTTTGCCAGCAGGTACCACCTGTCGCACAAGGTCCCCCGGGCGATCGTCACGAGAGCAGCCAGGAAGCTACCTCCTCTGATCGTCGACTTCTCCAAGCACAGGCAGCTGGGCTACCTTGATTTTCACGAGTAAGCTTCACCCCCCCCCCCCCCAGTAAACAAATGAAACGGCATCGATCGGGTGATTCCGTTCCTCAGGTTTGCCGAGCAGGTGAAGGCCGAGCTCGACCGGGGCGCGCTCACGATAGCCGTGTCCTACCACAGCGACGTGGCGAGACTCGTCGGCCAGTACACGCGCGCCTGCCAGGCCGCCCCCGGACTGGCTCGCTGCTGCGGTGGGTTGCTTGCCCTGCAGATTATGGATCGGATGACCGCTACCGTGGAGAACCTCCTCACCGCGATGAGCCAACCGCGACACTCGGCACCGCTACTCGTCGTAAATGCGTGTCACATCCCTCCATAATGGGTACAGCCTGTTTTTCATTTACCCCCCGAACAATCCCACAGCTGACCCTGAAATGCGAGAACAACGACTTGTTTGTCAGTCCGTTGTTGCGCGAGGTGTACGCGACCTTCCACTCGTTTCTGGACGCGATCGGCCACTCGGCCCGGCAACTGCCTACGGTCGAGTCCCTGGTGAGGCTGAGGCGTAGCGAGGCTCAGGGCGCAGCACGATTGCCTGATTGGTACTTGAGCGAGTGCCACGAGAAGCTGGACGGGGTCTTGGACGCGGCGTTCGCTCCAGTGGTTGGTTACGTGGAGGGTGTCCGGGATAAGTTTCGGATGGTGTACGACCCGGAGATGCAGAGGAGGCAGGTGGCGAGGATCGTCGAGGGCGAGGACTTTGACGCGTGCCTCGAGAAACTCGACGAGTTCAACAGATCCGTCGCCGACGTCCACGGGATGGTTGGCTCGGACGCGCGTACCCCTGTCAAATACGTCGATGCTGAATCAGCGCTGAAAACATGCGATTCAAGACTATAATAATTTATATCGGGAAACATTTTTTTTTTTCCAATGTTAGCGCTGCAGAAATTCTTTTTATATTGCTACAGTTGATTCAGTAGTTAAAGGGTATTGCTTTAAGTTGATGATAAATTGAATCAGAGCAGAACGACTGATTTCAGTGTTGATTCAGCACCGATGTTTTTGACGTGGATGTATACATATCTGATGTTCATTTCGATTGGAATTAAAAATCCGTGGTTTGAACGCGCGTAGACGAAAAACGAGTACTATCCAAACTGCAAGCTGCACCAGGAGAACGCGAAAAACGGGCTGAAACTGTACGCGGACCAAGTGAGGGAGGTGATTATCAACGAGCTCGTCGTCAGACACAAGAATTTCAACATTGACGTCTGCTCCGAATACGAAGCCATAAAAAATCGAGCTCTGGATATACCCGAGGAGACCAAGGAACTGCTCGAGCTCGGTACCGATCGATTTACCCTCCGTACATACATACAGTACAACCAGTGGATGAATCTTTGGTTTGTCGAACAAACAAACAAAAGGACGGTACATGCTGCACGTGCAGATGGTCAAGTTGAACGAGCTCCACGACAGGGTCACGGAGTCGCTGAGGATGCTGTCGTCGCTCTTCGAAATGACCTCGTTGGCCAAGGACCACGTCAAGCTCAACAACGCGACGTTCAACTGGTTGCAGAACATCAAGCCCGTTCTCGAGAAAAACAGCGCGCTGTACGAGCAGAAAAAGTTCGAGCTCGAGGACAGGTTGCAGAGGAAGATGTACGAGCTCAACAAGAGGGTCGAGGATACGTTCCCGAGGTGAGTCGCGCGAGTGCACAGGCCAAAGAGCTAGCCACTCCGAAACCACGACAACCTCCACAGGCTACTGCTGATTGACGCCATGGACGACGCGAACCGGGTGGGGGAGTACATCGAGTTTATGCGGAAGTTTGCTCGCGACTTGGATCGCATGAGCACCGACGTTGACTGGATCAACCGGGAACAGGATCTCTTTGGCTTCCCCAAGAGCTCGTACCCCCGTATCGAGGAGCTGCAGGAGCAGGCCATCATGCCCTTTTACACGCTGATAGTTAGAGCCCACCAGTGGCAGAGGCACCTCGCCGTTTGGCTCGACGGGCCCTTTGAGTTCATGGATTCTGGTTTCGTGGAGGCCAAGACGACCGAGTACTTCCAGGATTTCTCCAAGATGAGCAAGACCTTCAAAACGAGGATCAAGATGCAGCTGGCCATGAACTGCCCTTACGCGTGAGCCGGGAGTACCTTTTTTTGAGGGAGTAAGAGATTTTTCTTTTTTTTTTTTTTTACTTTCGGTTTTTTGCTAGATTTTCCGGCTCCGTCGACGACCCGGACTACCATCAGCAGCCAGCGCCCATGAAGCTGTGCCACCAGCTGCTCGAAAACGTCAAGTGGTTCAAAGTAGGCACGAAAAACTCTGACCATTTTTGCGTGCATTTTTATACATACTATCGGTGTTTGCGTGTTTTTACCGATCACCTTAGCACTACGTCCCGTTGGTGATGTGCTTCTGCAACCCAGCGCTGAACCAGCGTCACTGGGACGAGATGAGCCAAATCGCGGGCTTCGACCTGACGCCCAACGCCGGAACGACCCTTCGGAAGATCGTTGGCATGAACCTGATGGACCAGATCGACTTGTGCGTGAGCATTTTTTTCATGGTAGCGGTTGGGCAACAATAATCCACAATCGGTACGTACCGAAGGTACGAGCAAGTGAGCGTAGGAGCGACCAAAGAGCTTGGGCTGAAGGAGCTGCTCGAGAGACTGGAGACCGAGTGGAAGGACGTGTACTTTACGACGATGCCCTTCAAGGACACCAAAGTCAACATCCTCACGCAGCTGGACGACATTCAAGCCCTACTCGAGGAACAGATCGTCAAAGTTCAAGCGATGCGAGGCTCGGCATTTGTGAAGCCCATCGCTGCCGAGGTCAGGGATTTTTACGAGCTCATACTTCGGATTCAAATGACCCTGGACGAGTGGGCCAAGGTTTTCTAGTTTTTCCTTCGATCGCAGTACGTAAAAGCGAAAAAATTTCAATCGAGAGACTGGGTCTTCTCGTCAACAGGTGCAAGTGCAATGGATGTATCTGTTGCCGATATTCTCGAGCAAGGACATCGTCGCCCAACTCCCCGAGGAGGGCATACTGTTCGGCGAGGTGGACGGGACGTTCCGCAAAGCTATGCAGAGCGTCTTTAGGGAGCCGAGTGTTCGCGTGACAGCTGGCTCGGTGGGTGGACAAAATTGCAATTGACGATTTCGAGTATGAGAATTACAGAAATAGCCGAGAGATCGAAACAATGCATTGTATCTCCTCAGGCGGGTCTTTACGAAGCGATGAAAGAGTCGAACGAAATAATGGAACGGGTGAACGACGGGGTGACGAATTACCTGGAGAAGAAGAGGCTCTTCTTCCCGCGGTTTTTCTTTTTGAGCAACGACGACATGCTCGAGATACTCTCCGAGACAAAGGACCCCTTGCGGGTGCAGCCTCATTTGAAGAAGTGCTTCGAGGGCATCGCTAAACTTGGGTACGCGCTTTTCACTTCCCCTCATCGCTCTCTTTTGTCGCGGTCCTATTGTTTTTCCCCGTTTCGTTCCGGCTTGGGGTAACCGCGTTAGTACAGTTATCCGATTTTTCCTCCATTGTTTGAACAACCCATGCCTGTATGATATAAAATTCATGGTAATTCTTGTCATTTTTATCAAACGAGTGTTACTACGATCTTCAGATTCGACCAAAAGCTCAACATTTATTCCATGGTGAGCGACGACAAGGAGGAAATTAATTTCGTCGAAACGATATCGACGGAAGCGGCTCGCGGTTGCGTTGAGAGGTGGCTTCTACAAGTATATACGATATACACTCAAGATTTTTCACTTTAGAAAAAAAAAAAAAATCGATTCCCTCGAGCTTGTTATACAACCGTCGTTCATCTCAGGTCGAAGAACAGATGGTTATCTCGGTGAGACAGGAGGTGCTGTTGAGCTATCGGGACTACGAGGTCAATCGTCGAGTCGACTGGGTGAGAATGTGGCCAGGCATGGTCGTGCTGTGCGTCTCCCAAATTTATTGGAGCATACAAGTTCAGGGCGCGCTCATGACGCACATGGAGTCGACGATCAAGACGCTCTATCAGACCCTGAGAAAGCAAATTATAGACGTGGTTAATTTAGTCAAGGGTAAGTGGGGGAGCTTTAATTGAATTTTCAAGCGAGTGCACTTTGATAATTCCTTGGGCGATTTCAACGACGTGTACGATAACAATGGTCTATTGTCTTGGCTTTTGATTGTGCACGAGAAAAAGAAATGTCCTAATCGAAACTGATTCCTCCTCTAATAAGGTCTTACATTGATCATCGTCTACTTGCAAACAACAATGACCGAGAGACTTGAAATGGGGGAAAATAATATTTGTAGGATAACAACGAGGGTAGTAATGTCTAGCTCAAGTGCTCGCGTAATGTGGTGTAATAAACAACTTACGTGTACGAGAAAGGAGATTGAGATTCGATCGGGGTTCAACAGGTCAGCTCTCAAAGCAGAACCGCACGACGTTAAACGCCCTGATAACGATAGACGTGCACGCGCAAGACGTCGTCAAGTCGCTCATGGATAAAAAGATTACAAGCGAGACCGATTTCGAGTGGCTCGCGCAGTTGCGCTACTATTGGGAGGACGACGTCATCGTGAGGATAATAAACGCCAGCGTGCCTTTCGCCTACGAGTACTTGGGAAATTGTCCTCGACTCGTTATAACACCCCTAACCGATAGGTTTGACCTTTTATACTTGATTATTTCTCAATCGAATGTGCGTATGTATGTATAAAGAGGCAAAGAGGATAAGTGTTTCATTTCAATGTCCTCGTGGTTCGATAAAAGGTGCTATCGAACCCTGATCGGTGCCTACTATCTGCACCTGAACGGTGCCCCGGAAGGTCCCGCGGGTACCGGTAAGACCGAGACCACGAAAGACCTGGCGCGCGCCTTGGCGGTCCAGTGCGTCGTGTTCAACTGTTCCGAGGGCCTCGACTACAAAAACATGGGCAAGTTTTTCAAAGGTCTGGCCTCGTGCGGGGCTTGGGCGTGTTTCGACGAGTTCAACCGCATCGAGCTCGAGGTGTTGTCCGTCGTCGCCCAGCAGATCCTTTGCATCGTCCAAGCCGTGCGCGCCAAACTCGAAACCTTCATATTCGAGGTACTTTATCATCTTCACCCAAAACATCGAAACATGTCGTCATGGGATTAAATCTCGGCCAAGGGCACCGAGCTGAAGCTCAACCCAGCTGTGTACGTCTGCATCACAATGAATCCAGGCTACGCCGGTCGTTCCGAGCTTCCGGACAACCTGAAGGTGCTCTTCAGAACCGTTTCGATGATGGTGCCCTCATATCAGCTCATTGGTATTTAATTTTTTACGATCCTTCTCTAAATAAGGACAAAACAAATCGATAAAAACATTCTAGCATACCTAGTAAGTACATAATTATGGCCTGGTGGTTTTAGTTGGTGTGAAAGTAAATGATTCTTCTGCTACTATTGAAGAACATGTAAATACATGTATACTATCTTATATTATATAGTTGCAAGACCAAATTCAGTCACTAACCCCCTTAGCCCCCCTTGCCCCCCCCCAAATTTTGAATTTTTCCTTGAGCCCCTTCAAAATAAGGAAAAAAGCTCAACATTTCTCTGTTGAATTGACTCAGCAAAAATATCCTACAATAAAGACCCCCTAACATTTTAAATGGCCACGTCCAGCCCCCTCATACCTTTTGTGGTAGTTGTTAAAATCGAATTAGTAGTCATAATTTATGACTACATGATAAAAATACCAAAAAATACGCAGCCAAATTATCATTTAGGTGATCACTTTATCGACATGATACATTCTCGTTAATTCTAGAAATTTACATTTGTGTTAATAATTTTTTTTACGATTTTTGTAAATAATGACATAAATAATTCCATACGAAAGTAAGATTTGTGATAGATACTCTTGTATGAATGTTGATGTATGAATCAAGTGGAACGTCTGCCGAAATAAAGCAGTCAATTTATCTGTAGTAGTGAATAATTTATCGTTAGGATACAATGCAACAATAATGTTAGCATGGTAGTCCTTTTTTTGAACATTTAATTGTGTAAAGGTACGAAATAACTTTTCCGAAAATATTTTGCTTTATAAAATAATGTGAGCGTAATATGCGGTATACCAATAGGATGGCATATTTTTTTCTTGAACTACTATTTTTCAATCTTATTTTAATTTACTATTTTTGACACGACAATTTTTTTGTTTTTTATCAAAAATAGTAAGGTTTACATTAACTTGCATTTTGTTTTAATTATAATAATTTTTGTGCATAACTTTCTTCTGTGAGTAAAATTTAATTATTACAAAAATATCGTAAAACTCAACAAAAACTTTCAGTTCAACTTCTGTTACGAAAATTCTGTTTCTGAACAATTGTTCCTTATACTATCCTGAATAAGAAGAATCACAGTAAGTATATGATAGATTTCAGATTCATATGTATCGAATCCGAGATGGATCTAGTACATGGATCAACACAGATATTTAAGCAATATCATTTTATCTTTCGCAATAAATATAATGCTTCATACAGTGTATTGGAATACGAAATATTTATATGAAATATTCGTTACTTTTTAAAATATGAAATCATATGACTCATAATCTAAAACTAAAATTAAAGTGATTATTATACATATATTACCTAACCCTTATTTTGAGATAGAGTATTGGTGGGTTGGCGTGCGAAGCGGGCAAGGGGGCGAAACCCTACTATTATATATACATGTTAAGTTATCACGAGTTTAGTTTAAATACGTTTATTGGCATTCGTAAAAAATACATATAGCCATGTGTAACACATAAATTGGATTTACATTAATTTACAGTTTTTATTTGTAGAGATTTATCATTTACTTTTGGAGTTATAGTCGTTTTAGTGATACATTCCATAATAATGCATGCTAATTTGGTGAGTTTTCAGTAACAATTTTGTACAAAGTAAAGTGATTTACCCCAGTATTTTTTTATCGCAAATTAATTAGACACACTTTATTTACATGATTTCAAAATTCCAGAGATTTTTATCGTTTCATTAAAAATTGCCTAAGAAACTTTAAATTATTACTTTTTTTGGCAAGTAACAACTGTACGTACGAGAGCTCTCAGTGTTTCAAGTGGTTGAGTACTTGCTTCCTGCCGGGAGGGCTCCGGTTTGAGATTGAGATCCCTACACTCATCACTGTTTTGCGAGTACCTATGTAGTTTTTTTCCACATGTCTTATGGCTGTATCGCCGTATCGTGTTAAATTAAAAAAAAAAAAAACCAGTCGACAGTGGGTGCTTGGGTACCCAAGTATGAAGTTATACTTCTATAAAATTACATGGCAAACAATATAATTTTGAGTATAAAAAAGATGGTGCAATTATCGTAGAAATGAGGATACCTACATTGATTGGGTATGTTTTCAATTAATATTTAATAACAGAACAATTATAAACAATATGTTATGGCACAAAACGATATAAACAATATGGAGGCAGGCCAGTACAAGATTATGCACTTTCATCGAATATTTTGGTGAATTTAGAACAACATTCTACTGCCTACGCTGATTATATCTGTAACATCACGCTCACATCTATCACATACGCTCCAACACTTATTCCTAGTCCATATTTAATACCCAAAATAGAATTCTATCTAGAAAATTGAGAAAAATCATCCTTTAGTACCGCTTTCTTCAATAGCATAGCAGTACATGCCAGTAAATGTCCCTTTAGGACGTTTGTCACACATAGATTTTTTTGACAGATTTAATTCAAACGGCAAACGTATACTGAAATATCATAAAAAATACCCACGAACATTGCAGATCGTTTGACTGTACCATTATTTTATATATTTTTAATTTTAAAAAATCGGTATTTACCATGTAACCTTATGAAAAAATCACGTTAAATGGCATTTATATGATTTGTAGGAATATTCCAATTTTTTGGGTACAAAATATTACTTTTAGATAATCCTATCGAATTTTCAAGTAGACCCACAATAAGTTGGTTTTTAAATGAATTTAGTAAGAAGAAAGAGGGAATGGAGTGTGCATAAAAGCATGTATGTGAGTACATCCAACTCAGAAAAACAATTGCTAGCTTTACTGCACACATTAGCGTTACTCTCACTTCTCTGAACTTTTTTCCCACTAACATTGTGAAGAACATCCAGAAAAAAAAAGTCACTTTAATCACGAATAAAAAAATTGCAAAAGAATAAAACACAATAAAAATCAATTATTATATTTGTACAGTACAAACAAATTTTTTCTAATTTTTGAAACTTTTGAAAAAATATGAAAAATAGTATAAACAATTATTTATTGTAAAATTAACAAATTAGTTACATAGAATTGAATGTTTATTTCTACATTGGAAAGCTGCTCTGCTAAAATATACTAATTTCCAAGTTTCCTAAAAAAACATAAAAAAAAAAAAATTTTAT